TCTGTTTAGAAAGTGGTCACAGGCACCTGGTTTACATGTGCCACGAAGTTGAGTCAAATGCCCGACATTACGGCATCACTTCATGACACGACTATTTTTTCTAAGATCGATCTGATACAAGCTTATCATCAGATCTCAGTCGACACTAATGATGTCGAAAAGACTGCTATCACGGCTCCTGTTGGTCTGTTTGAGTTTCTACATAAGCCTTTTGTAGACTTTCCAGAGGTTTATCGACAGTATAACTCGAGATTTAGATTTTGTTCACGTTTACACTGACGACTTGCTTATTGCCTCTTCTAATGTAGTTGATCATTATCACCATTTAACTTTGCTATTTCAGCGTTTGTCTGATAATAGTATGGTAGTCAATCCCGATAATCGTAAGCTTGGCAAAAAGGTATTGATTTTCCTCGGCAACAAGATCAAACATCAGGGTATTTTACCATGCGAGGATAAAGTACGTGCTATCAGACAGTACACTTTACCATCCTCAATCGAAGACCTAAAGTTATTGTTGGGTTTATTGAATTTCTATAGACTATTCATCCCACACACCGCTCAACGGCTGCAATATCTTACAGACCTACTTCGTGGTAATCCACGTAAGCGCATGCTTACGAATGCCGCACGAGTAGCATTCCAAGAGGTAAAGACATTCAGAGCAGATCACGCTTTTTTCATCCTGTACGGTCAGCCACACTTAGTATAGCCGTTGATGTTTCAGACTTTGCACTTGGAGTGGTCTTGCAACAGCAGGTTTCAGGGTTTGGCAACCTCTTGATTTTTACTCTGGACGCCTTGCACCCACAGAAACCAAATATAGTGTCTTTAAACGCGAGTTGCTGGCAGATTACCACGCCACTAAGCATTTTAGACATGCAGTAGAAGGTCGAGATTTCACCAAATATACGGACAATAAGCCCTTTACATATACTTTACATAATAAGTCTGACCTTTGCTCACGAAGAAAAATGACACACTCAGAATATATTTGACAGTTCACGACTGATATTCAGCATGTCCGAGGTAGGTCGAATTGTGTTACGGACGCTTTATCACATTCTCTTTGATGCGATAAAGTCCCGGCTGACGCCCAGGCAAATGATTCTTCCTGCAAAGAAGCGGTCCAATTGACTTTCCTAAGATACCAATACCAATACCGTTAACTACTTATGATGGTACCGTCTTATGTGATATGTCTGCAGGTCTACCTCGACCTATAGTGTCCTTATCCTATCGTCGTTAAGTTTTCGTCTATTCCAATCTCTATTGTCACGACCGAAGTAGTTGCTCGAAATTTTGTAGAACAATGGACAGCACTTTGCGGTTGTGCCTCTGCTGTCACGACTGACAGAGGAGCACAATTCAAATCAGAATTATTTTCTTCGTTAACACGATTGCTGGGTTCGGAACGCATTCACAAAACTGCTTACCATCCAGCATCTAACAGTCTAGTCGAACGTTTTTACCGTCATTTTAATGGTGCGCTGCGGGCACAGAAGAACCCTTACTAGTACGAAACGTTAACACTTGTTCTGTTAGGTACCACAAGATGCGTAAAGGCAGATATCCAATGTACAGCTGCTGAACTTGTTTTCCGCAATACATTACGAATACCTGGGGCATTTGTCACGCCACGGTGAATAAATTTCATTGAAATACAGGACTTTGTGCAACGTTTGTCTACGTTTATGCAATCCTTTTCGCCAGCAATAACTCGAATGCCGCAACGAAAGGTACTTATTTGTACTGAACTCCTACTCTATTTGCACGTATTCTTTCAAATTGATGCAGTATGGAAACCGTTAGGAGAGCCCTACGAAGGACCTTTACAAGTTATTTCGCGTCATGAAAAGTTCTTCAAGATTGATCGAAATTGTCGCGTCAATACAACTGACATCAAACGCTTCAAGGCAGCATATGTCGACGATGGCATCATGCACACCATTTCCAGACTTGATGTTATTCCTGCACTGCTGACAATTGAGGCATCCACTTCAGAGTTGAGCTCGCAGATGGCAGTACCTGATATGATTTCGAATGAGGCAACTGTCTCACGTTCAAATAAGAAGTGTACTAGCACCTTATCAGACCACGACTAGACATCACTTTCACGTTCAGGTCAAAGGCTGTTTTGCCTACCCTTCTGTGGGATTAAGCAGAAAACGATCCACACAAGCCTATAATGTGAGCAATACCTCTTACGACGTATATCATGAGATGCCTTATCTCGATATATATTTGTATGCTCAATGATTGTTTATGATTGATGCAGCAATTTCGAACGTTAGGATGCTATATCGGCTTTCTCTGACAATTGTTTGCTTCCAGAAAACAGTGCAACATTCAAAAGGGCTGAAAATTCCTCTCAGTTACCTTGCATTCCCTTGTCTTTCTTCGCCAGTTTATCGTGCAATCTTTCTGACAATGGTTTTCATGTCAGTGTATTTTCTATTCTGAACCTTCTATTTCACCTATTTTACGGTGAAGAATATTCATTGGACACGTGCTTTAAGTACTTTGTGCTTATATGTAAATGTTACTCAGTGCTCTTCCTTGTTTTATTATGACTTCAATTTTGATTGACGATCTTTGTTGGACTAACTGTTGCTTTCGGTTCTATTGAACTCCCTCTGGCTGTAATGCCCAAGATTATTTTGCTTGATCTGTTGAAGCGTGCAGAATTTTCCTATTGGTCCAGAATTATCTCAAAGGTAATTTGAATCACTCATTTTCTATTTACTTTTTATTACTACAGATATTTTCTGTGAATATTTGTAACATTTTGGCTGGATAATGAATCAGGCTCACTATCAGAGATATGACTGCCTCATATATTTTAAATTATTGCCAAAATAGTACCGCAGATTATTTTTGGATCGACTTGATTCTCGATAGTTTGAGTTACACGTTAATTTGAGGTTTGGTTATCGCTATCCAAATGGAGCGACAGGTCATTTGATTGAACGCATACAGACGAGGTCTTTTTCGTTTCGCTCTGACCAGGACAATAGCGTTTTAGTCTTTACAGTACTCTGATATGCCCGTCACTCGGAGAATGAATAGAAAGATTAGGACGTTGATGACGAACATCGGGGATCCGGCGATAACACTGGAGAATCTTGACAAGTCACCCTGCATTGGTTTTCTGTTCATGGCTCCAGGGTTAGAGGGTCTGGTCGGCTAGAGAAAATGTAGGATAATTTATCAATCCGTTTTATATCGAGCGAGGATGAAAAAGATCGAGTGATGCAGTTTGTTGAAAACCATCCGGTATGGGATGCTAGGGAGGCAAGTAGTCCTTTTGTTACCAGGACAGCAGGGTTCGGTGAGCTAGTGAGAGAACATAAGATAACGACTTCCAGGTCAGGCCGAATTACTGCGAATCCAGGACTACCAAAAGTAGAGCTTCTATCTTTCGATGGGCGATGGGTAATTCCAAATTTACGTTGCCTCCAAGACCAATGACGATGGGCAAAGCTTGTTATATTTGTTTCATTGCTGTAATGGGGAGGATAAGAGCGCAGTTGGAGATTGCATCATGTTGCCACCCACGGTTGGGTACGATGGGGTATGCACAATTCTCAAAGATCTATTTGGGCACTCTACGAGGTAGCGGGTTCACTTTTAGATGGATTGTTGGAGGGTCTCAAGATGAATAATGTGGACGCTGATGTGTTGTCTTGTATGGCCATTCGAATGGAGAGCTTCATGATCACCCTAGAAAAAATGAGTTACGCGGCTGATCTTAATTTGCTTAGCACGTTGGAACAAATAGTTAAAGAGTTGCCGTATTCTCTGCAACATAAGTGGGCAGAGACCGTGAATTGGATTGCTCAACATGACAGGGAGCCAAATCTTTAGCAAACTGACAATTTATATCAACAATGGCTAGAGTAGCAATGAGTCACGTTGGGCAACTTGCTAAGCAAAGCAGAAGTAATAAATTCAGCCTATATTACCTTTTAGTAGGCGTCAACCACCATTAAACTATAGTCTAAATTCGGTCAAAAATATTAACAATCTAAGAAAATAACCATGTGTGATTTGTGCAGAAAACCATTCGGTTTCATCTTGCTCGGAGTTAAATACCTAGGCAAGATGGGACAAGGCACGAAGATACAGTTTGTGTTATATATGTTCAAAAGGAAGCGATCGAGCGAATGACTGCAGTAATAAGACCACTTGTGACGTAGATGGTTGTAGACGTAGAAATCACAAGTTACTTCACGTCGTCAAGAGAGTTTTAAGCACACAGCATGAACCAATCGGTAAGATTCACTGCGGAGCAGTGAGCCTGGGATTATTACCGGTCAAAAATAAGAGCTGAGTTAAAGAGATTATCGCGTATGCCCTACTAGATCTCCTAGAAAATACGGGAATCGATACAAAACTCGGCTCCCGTATTTTCTAGGAGATCAACAACTTCCATACGCCTCGAATGAGAAGGATCTCGGCGTCCTTGTTCAAGACGACCTAAGCTGTTCTTTAAACTGCTCCCGGGCATCGTCTACCGCTGTGAGACATGTTGGTTTGCTAAAACGAGTATTTGGCAAATTTGAACCAATGCTGTTCCCAAGATTGTTATCAGCCTACATTCGACCCCACACAGAGTACGCAATTCAAGCATGGAATCCATGGCTGCAACGCGATCAAAAGATTCTAGAACGTCCACAAAGAATGGCTACCAAAATGGTCAAAGGACTACATTTCAAGAGTTATGCGGAAAGACTGGAATCACTGCAACTGTACTCCACACAGTATCGCCGCATTCGAGGAGATTTGATCTTGGTATACCAAATAATGCGGAACCCAGAAAACCCATGTCGTCCACTCCTTTCCTTGTCGCCCAATACTCATCTGCAGGGCACTCATTCAAATTAGCGCTCCAAAATTGCCGACTAGAATGCCGGCGGCATTCATTCGCCCTCAGAATGTGCATTACGTGGAATTCTCCACCACCACACATTGTCTCTGCACCAACAATTGACTCATTCAAGCACAATCTAGATGAAGCTTTGAAAAGTCTTAAAATTCAACATCCGTAGAAGTGGACGAAACAAGGACAAATTGTGACATTGTAACATTCATCTATTTTGAATGTACTGTGAACCGATTCATCTGTGCCAAACCCTATGGGATTAGACGAGCAACCGCTTGTAAGTATTTCCCATAATAAAATTTTGACTTTGACTTAGATAATGGATCGGATACGACGCTTATTAAGGCGAGTGCACTACTCCAATTGGGGCTAAATCAACAAAGAAACCATTCAAAAATAATAACAATGAGTAGATCAACCGAGGAAAACTTTTTCAACAGTGCTTTTCAGGTACTGTTTCTAAATGAAACGGAATCGGTATGTGTGGAACAAGCTGTTGTTATAAAAGAATTACCCGTTAATAAGCCCGTTAGGGACATCTCTGAAAGAATGAAAAAATGGCCCCATTTGGCAGACCTTCCGGTGGAATACGTTGCTGTAGAAGTTCTGCTATTGATTGGGTGCGACATACCGGAGGCGCATTGGGTACTCCACTAAAGGCTCGGTGGTCGAAAGAATCCTTATGCAGTTCGGACGCTATTAGGTTGGGTGCCTTTTGTGCCTTCAAGTTTTGCTCCGTATGAAATGAAATCGGTCAAATGCTTGGCTGCAGAAGACTCAAATTTAATGCATCAGGCAATGCAAATGTACGATGCAGAATTTGCAGACACCCAGTTATTAGATCAATTCATTTCCGTAGACGATACGAAGGCCATGGTTATTGTAGAGTCCGGTACAATGTTCGTCGATAGGCACTTCATGGTCGTTCTGCCATGGAAGAAAGGTGTCAGTACCGGTATGGGAAACTATGCGTCAGTACTCTCGAGGTTGAACAGCCTGAAGCGGTCAACCTACATAGCTGATCAGTGGAATTAGATATTCTTCTGGTGAAAACCTACACTAG